AGCTATGTTATATTCTCCATTCAAAAGCCAGACTCATTTGGTGTTCCCCTTTCTTTGAGTCAACAGTAATTCACACTGAGATGACTGAACATTAACAAAAGTCTCTATTGTAAAGCACTAAGCAGATTCTGCTTACCTCACCACATGCCACACTAATCTAAGCGACCTGCATATCAATATAAAACAATATGAAACGCAGGAGTATTTTCACCCTGAATACAGAGCCTCGCTGGTTTCTCTTAAAGGACAATTGCACTTTTGTGCATTACCTCTTTAAATCCCCCTTCACACTCCCGATCAATGCAGTATATAAAAACATAGATCTCAGATCATTTGATCCCTGGGTAATAATGTTTTTGCCCAAGCAGAGTGTTACTTGTCTCCTCTGAGAGCTACCATACTGCACATGGCTGACTTTTTTTTACCACAGACTATGGTAGAAAGTTCTACATGCGTAGTATGGCATCTCCTAGAAGAGATAAATGGCATAGGCGTTAACATCAATATCCACGGATCAGGTAATCTGCAGTGAGTATTATGTACTGGGGTGATTGAGAGGGTGGGGGAACTTGGTTGCATATTGCAAATGCACTTGTCCTTCAAAGTCTTTGTTTTGTTGTATTGGATCTAAGCTATCCAGAGATAAAAAGTGTCTTAAGGTGCCCATACACTGCACGATTATCGTACGATAATCGTATGCGATCGGTTTTTCGTACGATAATCGAGCAGTGTGAACGGAGACGTGCGACCGTTTCTACTGTACGGTCGCACGTCTTCAGTCGAACCAGCTTGTTCGAAAACCAGCCGGGAATCGTACGATTCTCGGCTGGTTAGAACGGTGCTCGGAAGACAAATGCTGAACGGGCCGGTGTGCGCACGCGCACACTGCCCGTTCAGCATTGCGGTCATCGGAAGCCCGCCCCTCAGGGGGGCGGGCTTGCGATGATCGAAAGTGCGATCTGCCTGTCCAAGATAGGCAGATCGTACGTTTTTTTAATCCCTTTACAACCATCGCAAGACTAAGGTCTTGCGATGGTTGTACAGTGTATGGCCACCTTTAGTCAGAACTATAGGCGGTAAGACATGATTGCAGTCTTCTATATACCAAGTGTACCTACCCCATGTTGGAAATGCAACAGCATATACCATTTGTCTTTTGAGCAGTAGATGGCGCTGTAGTGCAATGTTACTATATGCATACTTATGTATGATATATACAGGAAGTTTTTTTCTTTATATGTTTTCTCTTACAATGCTGTATTCCTATATAGATGTATACAATGTTCTTCTAAGCAAGTATAACGTAATTCAGCATTCCTGAAAATCTCAGTGCTTTATATAAACACATAACCAGCAGGTTATGGGCCCAGGCCCTAAACAGAATACTGCAAGTCAACAAGAGCCGCATCCAAGCTACTGAAAAATGGCAAGTAGTTCATATATGAAGTTTGACATTGCAAAGCTCAAACAAAAGCAACTGCCAGCTATGGAAGTTCAAACTTGAAATGAAGCAAAGATGACTTGTGGCAAGTACTGAGAACCGACAGACCCAGTAATGGAACCATGGAGGAATGGGACAAGAAGAACAGGCAAGCAAAAGCAATTATAAGTCTGCTAGTGGAAGATGACCAGCTCATCCAAACCAGAAAATAAAATACAGCTAAAGGTATGTGGACTGCATTACAGAAATTGTATTACAGGAACTGAATAAGCGTTCAAACCTACCTAACGTAAACAGTTAAATATGTCTGCTACGCAAGCTATATAAGATGAGGTTAGAAAAAGGCCAGGAAATGTGTGAACATAAAAATGCCATGTGGGAAATCGGAGAACAGCTACGTACAGTGCTATTATTTACCCTCTAGAAACCAGACCTGAGCAGGAACTAACACTAGACTACACCAAAGGAAAATTAATCGATGAATATTACAGAAGGAAAGAAAATATGCACAATGAAGAAAACAAGAATGCCCTTAAAGAGGACCTTTACCCATATCTTTAAAATAACAACAAACACACCTTTAGAAATGTTTAGTAATGACAATCTATAAACACATACTTCTAGATCATTGCAGGCTTTGTATTCTTTGCATACTTTATTTCTCTTTTCTTCCCCAGTTTTCTGACAGTGGCCATGTTTACTAAGGGCAGTTTACTAGCTCTACTACTACTTCCTGGATTTCTGGCATATGTGACGAGACATGTGACTAGGACATGTGACCATGCACATCATCTCAAGGGAGCAAAATGCCTTTCCCTGAGATCTCCTGAGATTACAGACGAGATGTCCCAACAATGCTCTGCTGATGAAGGCAATCCCAGTGTGCATTGTTTTGGCAAACTGAAGTCATTTTGCCCTTTCAAAGCAGGAAGTGAATGCTCCGCAAGTGTAAGTATTTCAAAATCACAGCATTTTACACCTGACATGTCTATGTTGTTATTAATCATCATACATAGAGGGATGCATTAGTAGAATTAGATTTTTGAGTGTAAATGTACGCTTTAAGGTGCATGAAAGCGTACAGCAAAACAAAGAAAGCAGAGTGTGTTTTTGCTATAAAAAGACTGGTCACCAGAAAAAGGACTGTTCAATCTGGAAAGTTGAGCAGAGAAAGTGAGAAACACATACAAAAGAAAGAGCTAAGGCAGCCACAAAGGAAACTGCAGGCACATCACGGAGCTCTACCTTTAAAGTGACTCAGAACAGTATACCATGCGGATGGTGTATTGACTCAGGCGCAGCAAGCCACAAGACTAGTGATGAGACCTTCTTCACAGAAATTGATTTCAGTGCAAAGGACAAAGTTTTCCTAGCAAACGGGAAAAGTATTACTGCAGAACTGAGACTCTTGAACTGTATAACACCATCAGGGGACAAGCAGAGTATCCTCGTGAAAAATGTACTGTATGTTCCAGATCTAGAAGGAAGCCTTCTATCAGTGAAAAACCTTGTTATTAACAGTCTCACAGTTCAATTCCGAGGTGATGAATGTACAATCCGAAAAACAGTAGGCAAATTGTCACAAAAGGAAAACTAGATAAACACCTACACAGACTGTTCACTGCATGAAAAAAGTCAAGACAGCCACTAATAATCTACACAACAAATGTATCCATCTATGGCACAGACGACTAGGACACCAAAACCCAGGAGCCATAAAATACATTATAAAGAGAGGCTTTAAAGAAGATATAACCATACTGCCCTGCCACATGCTTATGACATGCAAATGCTGTATGGAAACAAAGGCCACAAGTACCCCAATTCCACAGACCACCTAAAGAAAGACCACCCAGCCCATGGAGCTCATACACAGCGATGTGTGCGGACCAATGAAAACTCCCACATCAGGCGGGAACAGATATCTACTGAGTTTCATTGATGATTATTCCAGGTACACAACAACTTATCTGATGAAGCACACGAATGAAACATCAGAAAAACTTCCAGAGTTTGTAGCCATGTGCAGCCAAAAATTCCAACGGAAACCAGGAATTATACGCACCGAAAACGTAAGGGTATACATCAGTAAGGAAGTGGAATCATATCTGAAAAAACGGTATAGTACACCAGACCACCGCACCATACACTCCAGAACAAAACGGAACAGAAAAAAAACAACAAGCAGAACGGAAAAAGCAGATGCACTTAAGAAGCCATTGCCAAAATAATCACCATAGTTTCCTTTGAGAGAAGCTAAATGTCATATAGCAACTCATATGCCGTTGAGAAGGGGTGCTGGAGATGCAAAAGTATATACTATTTGTCTTTTGAGCAGTGGATGGTACTGTAGTGCAATGTTTCTATATGCATACCTATCTATGATATATACAGGAAGTTATTATCTTTATGTTTTCTCTTACAATGCTTTATTCCCATATACATGTATACAATGTTCTTCTAAGCAAGTAAAACTTAATTCAGCATGCCTCAAGACCTCAGCGCTTCATCTAAATACATAACCAACACCCCATAACTACATTGTGTTGTTACTGCTATAGAAACTAAAAAACTAAACTCTAGCATATGAACTGTTTTACCTGTAAAAGCATTTGTAATTCTGTTTAGCCTATCATGTGATTCAGGCAGCACTGCCTGGTCCCGTACTCCTTAATTTTCATTTTATATATTTGCCTGTATTTTAGATATGCTATCTGTTCCATATTACCACAAGACTATAAGTCAATCAGGGTTTGTTCACATTGTACTTTCACAGGATTTGTAATCCTCTTCAACCCATTTTGTGATCTAAACAGCAAACTTGGCCCTGCAGACTAAGAATGCATTTAATAACTCCATCCTGCTCTGGGACCCACACTAGCCTGTAGCAGTTTGCAACACAATGGATCCTTCAAAACAGCAGTGCAAGACACGTCAAAATGCATGGCAACAAGGTAGCACATCAAATGCTGCTAGGTGCATTATAAGCCTGCAGAGAGGAAGGCAGGATGCTACAACCCCAGGAACCCACAACTCTGTTAACAAAATAAATTGTTCATGCTTTCCTTCTCACCCAGCTTCCCTTAGATAGTGAGCAACACGTTGTTCTTCTATTATTATTCCTAAATGGACTATAGAGCTTAGGTAAGTGCTCACTATAATTTGTTTGTTGGTTTTGCAACTTCTGATCTATTTGTGGCTTTCCCCTTTATATGTTTCCACATGATAGAATGCCTTCCTTTGTTTCTCTGAGGATCATACCAGTTTCCTAAGAGTATACTTTTTTGTCAGTTTCCTAAGAATATGGCCTACCCAACAGCTGTCTCTTTATCTTCACAGCTATTTGATTGCTTTGTCTCCAAAGTGTTCATATTTGCTATAATCTTTGACCATCTAATGTTTAAGATATGTCAAAGGCATTTATTTACTCTGCAAGTTGCATATGGTAATTGCAGCCCTACAATAGCAGAGCATATGGAAGGTTTGTTAAAAGAAGTGACAGAAGCAGCAGTGTAATATGTATGTTGGGGTTTCTCTTTAACTGAGATTAAATACTCACGACTTCTTCCAGCTGCACTTGGATTTGTCGATGGACTTCAGCCATTTGGAATAATGTATCACCTGTAGAAATAAATCACATAAAAAATAATAAACGCCACATAAATCACAAACTGAGCCAAACAGCACAAGCAACAGACAGATGACCTTAGTTCCGAGGGGCCACACGCATAATTATAATACAAAATGTATTTTTGAAGTTTGCTCTTGGCTATTACATACTTCTTAGGCTTTCTTGATTTGAATAAAAATTATTTTTGGTTAGTTGCGATAGAATACTGACCTCTACCAATTGCTCTTTGCTGTTCTCTAAACAAGATCACTTACCATAGGAATAATATTGCCAAAAGTATTGGGAGGCCCCTCCAAATCATTGGATTCAGGTGTTTTGAATCACCTCCGTGGCCACAGGTGCATAAAAGCAAGCACCTAGGCATGAAGACCGCTTCTACAAACATTTATGAAAGAATGGGTCGCTCTCAGGAGCTCAGTGAATTCAAGTGTGGTACTGTGATAGGTTGCCACCTGTGCAATAAGTCCATCCGTAAAATTTCTTGCTACGAAATATTCCGCGGTCAACTGTTAGTGGTATTATAACAAAGTGGAAGCAACTGGGAACAACAGCAACTCAGCCATGAAGTTGTAGGCCACATAAAATGACACAGCTGGGTCAGCGCATGCTGAAGCACACAGAGCGCAGTAGTCGTCCATGGCCGAGCAGCTGCCCACTGATTAGGAGATCTGATGGAGGTTATGGACAAATACGTCCTGGTCACTAAAACTGGACAAATATTACTTATCACACAGCCAGAGCACCAAGAACTTTACAGCAAGCACCTAACTTTCTGAGCCATTATAATTAGGTGAAGGATACCCCTCCACTTACAAAAACAAAGCCTACATGCTTAGGGCTTCAGCAGTTTATATAGTTGTGCACCAGTTCACCCCACTTTCTTTTTGTCAGTAACCTGCTGATCTGGGAGCCTCTTTTGCCTTCCTGTATAAAATACACAAGGGCTTTTTCCCAACATACCAACTGCCGGATCCTTCCTGTCTTCCACATATAGAAAGCCTGATGTATTAAACTGACAGCCACCAATCATTTTCAAACCTGCCTTGGAAATCTAAAGAAACCTGCAAAGTTTCTTAACCTGGGCAAGGAATCCATGCAGAGACCAATTCTCAGGACCATCAAATAGATAGTAAAATGTTTTTACCACGGACACCATCTCTGAAACCACCCAATCTTCACCAGCGCCTCCGATTGCTGGAACTTGCATGGTAAGCATCCCCAGAAACCAAACCCTGAAGTGGTCGTGTTGTTGGAGACCAACAAAACAGCAGTACTAAAACAGACTATGAGATGTTGCTCAGGACGGAAAAGGGGGGAGGGGGCAGGTCAGATTAGAACAATCTACCAGAGCGAGATACCAAATAAGAGCAGATGTAAGAACAGAGACAAAGCTGAAATCAGGCCAGGTAAAAGTCAGACAAGACAGCAATATTAGAACAGAGAGATAGGTTGGCAATTGAACTTCTAACAGAAGTAATAGAGCGTACCCACGCAGTCATTTGGAGAGTTCAGTAATGTGCAGTGTACATCGTCTGCAGGGTGCCTATAAGGCTACAGTTATGAATCAACATGTACTGTCTATCTACTGATGTAAAGGTACCATGAAGCATTTATGTCATGGATATGGGATCACAAGTGTGTCTTACAGAACTGTATTGACGCCAAAGCATGTTATTAGGCAACATTAGCAATGGTAGCTTACTGTTATGGTTAGCTACCATTATGCGCGGTTAGGGTCTGGAACTCGTTGCCACAAGCAGTGATTTCAGCTAATAGTGTGGAATCGTTCAAGAAACTTTTGGACGATTTCCTGAGAAACGGTAATATACAGGGGTACAAGTACTCCTAAAAACGAGATGACTCGGGGATCTTTACACACACACACACACACAATAGGTTGGACTTGATGGACATGTGTCTTTATTCAACCTCAAATACTATGTAACTATGTTATGCATTTCTCTCAAGCAAGGTTTTGTTTCAAATTGCCTGCTGACTCCTAAATTTAACAAATTCTATATTATTTACTACCTTTAAATTATGAGAGCATTTAAGGCTAACAAGTAGTTTTACAAAAGATCTCTTGATTTTGGCAGTATTGGTCACTTGCTGGAGGAAGCAGCAAATGGTATGTGCCTCAGCATCCTCACATCCAATACACAGTGCATTTAATGTGATGACTCAAGGATCCTTAGACCACTGGAGGGGGGAGGGGGACTAGTGGAGCGCCCTAGCCAGCTTTGTAGCTTTCTGCTGAAGTTTACTTCCAGAGAACACCCAGAGACCTAACAATAAGGGAACTTAATTATAAAAATATTGATTTTAGCTACAAAGTCAAGCTTTGACACTATTTCTTCACACCCCACTGCTAGTACGGCTGCTGATTGGAAGCAATGACTAATAGTGGGATGTGGAAAGAGGGAGAGGGTGGCCTTGGAGCTGAAGGCTGACCTTTAAGTAACTAAGCACCTCAGATTTTGGGGGGAAAATTGAGGGAAATCTCTCACGGAGCGCAGATAGCAGTAGAAACTGGACAAGGGTTCTAATTATTCACCATTCTATCAAAAACTAAAACTAAATGTTTTGGCTGGACAAACACTATATGTTTCTCTACTCAGAAAAAGCTTAATAACTATGAATATGAGTTAAACTGAGGTATTTATGTTAGCCAAGAATTCTTTTGGTTATGTAGCTAGGTTTGCACCAACTTAAAAAGTTTACCCTTACAAGCTACAAGATGAATATTGTTTCCAACTGTTTTTACCCTAATTATGACATTCTTGAAGGGCAACGTGACTCAGATTATCTTTTAGTTCTAGAGAACTAGCACATTGTTAATCACGCAGCTGCATAGCTGGAATACTCAGTCATGGAGGTTGGTGTCTGCATAGATGACAGACTGCATTAATCACAGTATGGTGCACACATTGTGGTTGTGAGGTGGAGTTATAGAGAGCTTAGTGTGTATGTTACCCCGAAAAAATGTATTTGATATATATGTATCTGCCATAAAATTGTGTGCAAAGTAAATCTAGCATGTTCCTTGTTGACTATTTTTACAACTCCTCCATTTGCCTTTAACCCCCACTTACCTGTTTCATTAAGTTATTCTCAATTAACATATCTGCCCACCCAGAGAATTCAGCGATGACCTGCTGTAGTCCTCCATTCCACTGCTTCAAGTCAGGTCCTGCAGCCCTACCTTCTCTGACAATTGTTTGAGTCAGCTGTCCCTTCTGGTTCTTGCAGCCGGCCCCCTTATAATGTCCTACTGGGTCTTTTCCCCCTCTAGCCGCTGGGTGGAAGCCAATGCCTCCTGGGATATCTGACATACATATCCTAGATAACTTTTGAAGCAAGGCTGACATCATTTTCCCCCAGGTGAGAATGAAGGAAATCACTATGGATGCACTGATACCGGTTTTTCGAGTGTTGAATTCTGGGACAACATGAAGTATGTGTTTTCTGCAGAAGAAAATTCTAAAGGAGATCCATAAGTGTATCATACAAACATTGAGTGACAAGTGCCCATCACACTCAACTGTGAAGAAATGGTTTACTAACTTTTAGCGGTGGGACTTTGAAACTGAAGCAAGATCTTGGAGGCCTTCAACAGTGTAAATTCCTGAAATTGTTGATCATGTTAATGACATGATTTTGGCAGATCGACAAATTTCAGCTAAAACAATTGCTGAGACACTAGAGATACCAGGAATTTGTTGGGTTTATAATTCATAAGCAGTTGGGTATGCTGTAGGGCAGCCTTGTATAACCCGTCCCATTCCCAGCCTGCCTGAGATTTGTGTTAGTGTCCTCAGATGATGCACACCTTCCCTCTGCTCTGGGAAGTACATCCTTTTTCTCATTTTCCTGTTGAAGACTTTTCTAGCAAGTTTCCCAAAGCTGCTCACAAAATTGAGGCACCTAACAGCAGCTATCCAGATCAGCTTTCTTCTCAGCATAGCCTTAGCAGACTGTGCCTGGACCCCGCTGAAAGGAAGATGTACAGTTTGCCTGTAATATGCTTAGGGCATTGGATTCTGATTAAAACACTCTCCTTGGCACCTTTTGAAGTGTGTGAATTGCTACAGGGTGCCTTACATGTCCAGGGTCATAGTCCATTGTGGTGGAGCCCTGTCCCTGAAGACCTCCTTTAGGTGGTATGCCCACCAGGAGGGGATGGAGCACGTCCCCTTTAAGTGACTGGGCTCCTAAGTCAGCTGTCGCTCTGATGGTGGTAAGTAAGGGTTTTGTTTATTTGTAGTAGGACACAGAGAGTTAATTCTGGAATAGATGGGTTATGCAGCTACCTTCAAGGGGTTGGACACTGGTAAATCAAAGGTGCAGGACAAACCTGTATGACACCTCCCACTACCAGCCGGTCGTACAGCAAAGAGTACAAGAATGGATCACAGAAAACAGAGGGGAGGTTCCTGTGCCCTGTTATGTATTCCAGCAAATAGATTTTACAGGTAAGACATAAATCCTGCTTTGTTTATCTTACGTTAAAGATAAAGGGAGTTATTTCTTCCACAGATTGGAAGTCCAAAAGCAGTCCATCAGAGGGGTACGCAAGAAAGCAAACCACAGCTAGTTTGATAAAAAACAAATTTAAACAAGAAACTATAACTGAAAGGGCTCGCAATTCAGAGGGCTGCCTGAAGAACTTTGTGGCTGGAGCTAGCATCTGCTGAGACATGAATATTCCCCTTGTAAAACTTGGAAAAAGCATTCAGAGAGCAAGGCGGCAGACTTACAGATTTTGGAAACTGAAGCCTGATGCTAGAAGGCCTGGTGACAAACTTGTTCACTTTGTTGTTGAACCCGGATGCCAGGAGGTCCATGTCCACTGTCCCCCACCTGAGACAAAGGTCTACTGAGTCCATACATTGATGACTGAGGAAGTCCACTTGCCAATTTTGAAATCGCACTGCAATGACATGCACTGTATTGCGGCACCACATGTTCCAGTGCGAGCAATCGCACTGCAGGTGGGAGGCGCCTTTGGGGTGCCATTGAAATGAATGGCACTGCAACGCACCTCTCGCAGCAGAAGGTTTGGAGCTCTCCTCACAACTGGGCACTGGCTACAGGGGTCTGTGTCCCGTCTGATCCCGCTGGGTTTCAGTCGGTTTCTGACAGGTTAGAAACAGCTGATGTGTGTTTACAATACAAGGCTGGCAGGCTGCCAAGATTCTGCTGCAATAGAAAGTATGTGAGATCTCTATGTCCCTGTTGTGAACTTTGAAAATTAACTCTCTATGCCCACAGCTGCAGAGGTGAATTAGGGCTTGTCTTAAAATGCATGCACTGTTTTGTTATTGTTCATAGTCTGAGCACAGGTTCACTTTAAAAAAAGTAATGCAAATAAAGCTTGTACTCCTAGTGGTTCAATGTCCCTTAAAAAACTAAAACAGTAAAGTTGCAGATTAACAAAGTTAACAGATGAAGATAACTATTTCCCAAATGCAAGTGAGTTGCATGTACCATTATTAAAGACCCGTCCGCCAGTTCTCTGCTATATTAGTTGAGTGGCACACGTATAAATCTCTTTGTGGGACAATCTAAGGTTTAGGAATCTCTTATAAGGCAGAGGCAAGATTACATGACAAAAACTACACCGTAAGAAATGGAAAAAGGATTGTGCAAATAACTAGAATCTCATATTACCAAGACAATGAAAAGTGTCCCAGGTTTATCAAAAAAGCTTTAGATTTGTTTTTTTCCCCTTTAAGATACAAAGCTACTCAGCTACCATTAATTCCTATTCATCAAGAAATATGCATTCCAATGACTTAGGAGAATAGTAAATAGACACATACTACATTAAGGAGCCTGTATAGTATAACTTCCTTTACTCCTAGAAATGGCAATAAAATGAATGGATCTGAACCCTTATGAATTGAGTTCATGCCTTTCCTGACATAGAAAGCAGTTTCCCGGAATGTGTAACAGCCATTGACTTAAAGCGAATCGTTTTGCATAACTTTGAAGGTCACTTGGGCAACAAAAGGTGTAAATGGAGACAAGTAACCCTGGCATGAAGAGGGAGGCCATGGGAGAGCCAGGCACTGACTAGCTGCGCACCTCACACATCCATTTTGTCAGTGTTAGCAAGAACTGAACACGTTGCCAGGACAGCAAGATAGGGAATGCAATTTAATTCCAGAAAAGCAGGGAGCTGGCAGCGATGTCAAGGAAGGAACAGAGCAGAAACTGAGGATTAGTTAATTTTACATTCATTTTGAAGGAGCCACACCATATTTCACATCTAAGCAATTGTATGAGAAAGGATAGAGTTAACAGGAATTTCTGGCTCTCTGCAGGAAAGCAGAGCTTCCTGTTTAATCAGCTTTGCCATGAATCCCTGATCTTGAAGGGTCTTAGACACTAAACACTCAATGCATGAAGGAGCCAAGTGCAAGAATGGGGGGAGGGAATTGGATATAGGAATGAATTAATAAATACATAAAACTTACCAAGCTCTTTAGATCCTTGGCTGATGCTTGCAAGTTCGCCAAGTTTCACAAGGGCATCAAAGTAGCCCTTTGCTGCTACTGTAACACCTGCAAGACAAAGAACATTAAACTTTATTAGTTTGGCAACTGTATTTCAATTACATTTTACACAGGCATTGCTCTAAGCATATGATGGTTTTCTAACCATCCAATAATGGTTTTCTAAAGGGTCAAAACTACTGACCTAAACTATCACAGTATCTAAAAGAACTATCTGTGTTTCTGGGGCACTCTTAGGTTTAAGGTGTGTGTCGACATTAATGTTTCTGTTTGAAGGAGAACTTGTCAAGAAGACTTAATAAGGCAGTCCGGAGATGTAAGCTGGACTACTATATGAAAATATAACCAAAGATGCAGTTTAATTTCAAACTACAAACAGCCATAAGGAAGCAGCTTAAAAAAAATTATTTTTCAGGTCACAATGTTTACAAATTTGCAAGATGTAGCAAATAAAAACTTTTAACTATACCATATGCTACATGTATTCAATTACAAAAAAAGTTTCAGAACGTCTAAAGGAAGTACTGTCTGTGTTGGTAGGATTGTATCAACCAGAGAGATAATACACAAGGCATGGGGCAACATTTTTTTGGTCCCTTTGTCTGATGGAAAACGTCTAATGAAAGATCATTAAAAAGGCCATATTTTTTCAGATTATACGTTTCTTGAAATATTTGTCTATGAAAACTCTTTTGAATACATAAATGATGTTTAGTAGATAAACACTTGGGTCAAAATCACACCTATCTCACCTTTGAAATCATGATGTGCATGGTAAACTCTTTCAGCACCATTTTTTATTCTTAATATTTCAAACTGTTTTGAAAGTCCAAAAGACATCTGGTTATATGTTAAAGACTAAATGTACCTTTCTAACCATGTTTAATGTTACAGCCATATTCAGGGTGCTCAAAAATGAATAAGAAACATTAAGAGCTGATATTATGTGATTTTCTTGGTGATTTGTATTCTGTCTTGAGATCCCTTTCCAACCCTGCAGTGAAATAACATCTATTTAGGCAAGTGTTATGTTGTAACCCCTTTTTGTAGACCACACTCATACTTGTATTCTATAAACCACTAGCTTTAAAGTGACACTAAACTCATTTGGGTTAATAGTTAGGGACTTGAATGCGTTTTTAAGATTTACCTTCTGAGTTTAGTGTCACTTTAATGCTAAAAGACAAACAAGAATGTGCCATGGTAATCCAAAGCACCATATTGATATGCCATAAATAATGACAATGTTTCATTTTTGTGTACCCTTACGCTTCATTATGGCAAGGGAATCAATAGTTGGCACAGTGTTAGCACAGCAGGACTACAGCAATAAAAAAGTAGCTGACCTGACTACAAGTAGATGGCTTATGCATGCCAGTGTAGTAAAGCATAGAATGAAAAAACTACAACACCTTCTTACAGTGACGATTCTGAGCCTTCTTTAGAATAGCAAATCAGCATTTCTGTCTCTGAAGCACTGACTTTATTTATAACAAGGCCCTAAAATAGCAATTAATATTATTTGTTCACTAATAACTTCACCAAAAACATGGATGTGTATTAGCCATGGTTCTCATGCCAATGTACAGGTCACTTTTTAAAATTCCTACAATAAAAAATAAATTTAATCTAATTTGACGTGCATCTGTGCTCAGACTATTTATAGAAGTAGCCACAGCACAAGCAGAAAAGCCTGTCCTCTGCCAGCATGCTATAGAGAAGGATCCTTGCTTTCTGTGCGGAAGCAGTGGTCTCTCTGCGGAGTTCTGACACACCTCCTGCTGAGTCAGGGCTTGTTCACACCATAAACAGTGCGTTCCAGAGCGGTCAGCCAATGCACTGTGGCAGTGCATTGGCGATTGCACTGCGGGCCTCCCGCTCCTAAATGCAGGAAGCCAGCTGGAATGCAATACAGTGTACAGACATGTTTTGTAGAGTGTGTATTGCATTCCCGCTGGCTTCCTGCATTTAGGAGCGGGAGGCCCGCAGTGCAATCCCCAAAGCACCGTGGCAGTGCATTGGCGATTGCACTGCGGGCGAGGGGCGTGACTGCGGTGCCATTGACGTCACCACCACACTTACTCTCGCCCCTGGACGCAAGAAGCCAGCCAGGATGCGATATAGTGCATTCCAGTAGCTGACCACTCTGGAAAGCACTGTTTATGGCTTGAACAAGCCCTGAGACCTATAGCTCTGCAGAACCGCATAGTTCATGCTCCCTGCTGATTGGAGAGCTCTAGCTCTAAATCAACAAGGGTGTGTCAAATATCTGCAGAAAGACCACTGCTTCCACACAGTGAGCAAAGGTTCTTCCCTGCAGCATGCGGGCAGAGGACATACTTTTCTAATGAGACTGTGGTTGCTTCCCAAAGATAAGGTATCATATAGTTCTGCTTTAACGGGGAAGGAACTTTTTTCTTTCTGTTTTATTGTGTTCAAGACTAAAACATAAATTTAATTTAATTTTAATTAGTTACATTTTTTGTCATGTAAATATGAGATACTGCTTATAAATATAATTGATATTTACTTTTCCATCCAGCCGGGGGTTTTATGTTAATTTTTTACACTTTTATCTATCTATTCTTAGCAGCTATTTACAGGCATACACCGCCCCACCCCCACCACCACCTTGTGCGGTTCAGAGGGGACCACAAACAGCTTTTGCTGTGCTCTGTCTCTGGAAAACATACTGTGCTGTGAAACCAGTTTCATATATGCACCCTGTATTTAAAGTATTACTAAACCTAAGAACAAGAAAATAATATATTGCTTACCAATACTTGGATGTGATAGCTACATTAATTTCATTCTTAACAAGTAAAAAAAAACCTGATGATCTTATCAGAAATGCAGTGTCCTGGTCACTTTATATGAGCTAGGCTTGAAGCAATAAACCATCTTATTTTGTATGTGTACACTACTAATTTTGCCATGAAACGGGGATGAGGCATGATTGAAGTCCAGCCTAGGTGACAACCATGACTCTCTTCCATAGATACAGTGGAGTGTAGCCACCTAGGGACAAGACATGTGTTATCATCAGGATTACCAGTTGAAAAAAGCGAAAAATATTTGAAAAATTAAAACGAATGCAGTCACCTCATCAAGGACTGGTAAGCTGCAACATATTAAATTTCTGTTTTGGGTTTAGTGATACCTTAACATTTATTTAATGCCCATTTAGTAACTGCAAGCCTCTCACTGAACCCAGGATGTTCAACTTCAAATGAGATGGACTCACATGACTGTGGATAAAAGGGAAATAAATAGGTATTTAGATTAGGTTTTTGAAAATAAAACATATGCATTTGTTATAAGGTGATACTATATAATACCAGGGTTATTCACTAAAGAGTGAAGAGTTTGGAGAAGGCAGGAGAAGTGAACAATCTAGGACAAAATAGCTGATTTGGAGAAATTCTCCAATTCAGCTCACTTTCCAGTTCAGCTATGTTGTCCTAGATTGTTCACTTCTTCTGCCTTCTCCAAACTCTTCGCTCTTTTGTGAATAACCCTGTGAATGTTTGTGTTTCACCTAGGCCAATAATCAACTTTCACTCTATCATTGTTAGTTTATATGCTCTTTTTGTATTTTAGCAAGAAAAAAGTAACATAGGAACAAGTAAAATAAAAAAAATTAAAAAAGCACCAGTGACTGATTGCAGAATTAGACATCAAAGCATTATTCATCAGCTGCAAGCCACATGGCAGTAACCCACACCTTCATGTGAGTACATGTATCATATATCTAGTCATAATTGTTTTCTCTCCACAGATAACCAACTAAGATAACTGATATGATTCATACAGTAATACGGTGCTGTGCATCAGGGTTTTCTAGGACCATTTACAGGGTAGCTATATTATAATACATCTTCACAAGAGTGTTAAAGGTGAACTACAATGGTATTGAGGCCAATTTTTTATTTAAAAATATTTAAACTGATTTTTATTTATATGTACACCATTTTTGTTTTACAAATGAACACTCAAAAGATGCCAAGAGATTCCATGAGCACTTTGGCCTAGCTTTCCAAAGAGGGGTGATTTTACACTGTCCTGGCATTCTTATTTTATATGTTTTATAACAAAAAGTAGGGAATTTTTTTTCCAACGTTTTCGGTCTTTTTGCCTTTGTATTGTAAAAAATAAAACAGAGCTGTTAATAAATACAACTAAAAGAAAGCTTTATCTACCAAAAAATGTATCTAAAATTAATTTGGTACACTGCTGCATGGCTGCGTAATTACCAAATAAATCACAAAGCAAACTGAAAAATGGCCTGGTAATGGAGGGGAATTACAGGCCGCTACTCAAGCTGACTGAAACTGTTTAGGTCATCTGCTGCAAAATCTGCTGTAAATCAATAGCACAGGCCTTGTCCCTCACCCAGCCTGTGACTGGACAGTAAAAGGAGAAGCAGCTCACTGATTAGCTCATCTCTCCACTCTCTTCTCCTATTTTTTGCCTGCTAGCTGGCTAACTCCATATTTCTATGAATGCATTTGTTTTACAAATTTGAAAATTCTTCCTCTAGTGGTAATCTGTATATCAGGCACTGCAGTCACCAGCTGCAGAAGTGCTGTGATTATTCTCATAGAGAGTGAACTGGATTCAGTCTAAGTTCACTGATAGACATGGAGAAGGGGAGATGCAGGAAGAAGGTCATTCTCTGTGCGGCTTGTAATGTAATTAGCAAATATCTGTATACAATTATAGGCTATTAACTTCAATATCAACACATATTTAGAGTAGTGCTAAAGGCTATTTGTTTAAAAACAGCCCGCAATCTTTCCTCCCCCCCCCAACACTTATCTATGGTCCATGTTCACTGCTGCCAGCTCTGACATGGCCTGCGATGCTTCCTCAAAATTCCGGGTTGAGAGGGGGGATCCCGAGGCCACTGAGGACAGGGCAGCAATAAGCTCTATGTATGTATCTCTTTCTATGTATCTCTATATATGTATCTGCCTTTTAAATTACTGTGAGGAGGCAGGAAAAGGGGTGTGGCTTGTTGAGAGCTGTGTGATTTAGTGGACGCACAC